GGGGTTTAAAAGGACCTCTGTTTTCAAAATTCTGAGCTAAAGGTGACACCTTTACTTCAGATGTGGAAAAAAGCTAGTGTTTTTCTGGATGTTTTGAGATCTGTGGTGACCACTGGTTTAAAAAAAACATGTTATGACAAAGCTCTTTCATGTTCTTTAATTTTAAACCAAAACACTGCTTTTGACTATGCTATACAATGTGTGTATTATAAATAGAAATGTCTCTTATATTTCTAATTAAGCTGTTTTTTATAGGCATGATGGCGGATGGAAAACTTTCCTCACCATATGTGAGTAATCCTATGTTAAATAATACAATGTTTTCAGATAAAGTTTAAGGAAAAGATAACATGGGTAATAATATTTGAAAATGTCCAATAAACAGTTATGTCAAACATAAAGTAAATGCAAAATAGAATAATAGATTGAATGGATGGATGAATGAATGAATGAATGAATAAATGAATGAATGAATGAAAATTAAGAAAATAACAACATCTGTTTTGACAGTATATGTGTGGTGGGTGGTTTATGGATGTACATCAGTACATGGAGAAAGGAAAACATCAGCCACGACAGCAGTTTTTAGAACATCACAAGTTCAAACTAACACAACTGAGGCTTCTGCATCCACAACAGCAACTAATAATCTTACCACAACAATGCTTTCAACAATGACAACAAATGGGAAAACAACAAATAAAACAAGTGTACAAACTACAACTTCAACAACAAGTACAAGTATGTCAAATGTTGAAAAATCTTTGGCAACAACACTGAAGCCTCTAACATTCTCAACAACAATGTCATCATTGAAAACTGCAGCAACCATAAATATGTCTAATACAACATTACATCAGACAGAAACATCCACTACCACTCACAATCCAATAATATCTAAAGCTGTAGAAACAACTTCAACAACTAATACTTCTAAAACCACTGTGCCTGAAACCACATTATCTTTTAAGCAATCATCAATATCCTCAACTTTAAAATTAACACCAAAAACTATTGCAGAAACAACGACTACAACTGCAGCAACCACAACTATGGCAGAGACCAGAACAAGTGGTGCTACAAGAACAACGATTTTGGATGTCCAAACCACCAGTTTAAAATCCTCAGCTGCTGAATCAACAACAACTACTGGGGCAAAAACAAGAACGTTGAATGCCACATCTACAGCACGAGTAAACATAACTAGTACCTCAACATCAACATCTCATGTGGGCAGAATGACTTCAACTGAAGCAGCAAGCACAACTACATTGAAAAGCACAACAACAGGTGGAGAAAGAACAACAAGAAACTTAGCTGAAACTATGGCTGAATCCACAAAAAAAAGTAGGGCAACAACATATGTGAATGTCACTTCCGCTTTAGAAAAATTCTCAACTGTGGAACCAGCATCAACAACTAATGCAAACACAAGGATAAATTCAACTGATGCAGGAAAAACAACTATGGCTGAAACCACAAAAACTACTGCAAAGGCAACAACCAAAACTTTAGGTGTCACAACCACCTCACCAATGTCTTCAGCTGTGGAATCAACATTCAGTCCTAATGCACACACAACAACTGAAGCAGAAAACAAACACATGGCTGTAACCACAACAACTACACCTAAAATCACAACATCAACCTATGATGCCACATCCACTTCACCAGTATCCTCAATCATGGAATCAACATCAACAACTACAACAAGCAGTGCAGCAACCACAACTACATTTGAAAGCACAGCACCCACTGTTACAACATCTTTAGAAGCCATGTCCAAATTGCCAAAATCTTCAATTGTGGAATCAACTTTAAAAACTTATGAAGAAACAACAGCTACAACAACTCATGCAGCAACCTCAGCTTTGTCTAAAACAGCTGCTGAGGCAACAACAACTAATGCAGCAACCTTAACTATGTCTGAATTTGCAACAACTGATGAGGTAACAACAACAACAACTTCTACTGCTACTTTGGATGTTGAAGCTACCACCCAAAAATTCTCAAATGTTGAATCAACATCAACAACACATGCAGCAACCACAATTACAGCCGAAACAGCTGCTGGTGCAAAACCAACAACTTATGATGCTAAATACACCACGTTAATGTCTTCAGCTGTTGAATTATCAACCTCTAATACAAAAACAATGACTACAACAATTGATGCAGCAATCAAAAGTGTGACTGAAACCCCAACAACTACACCTGAAATGACAACAACTTCTAGGGCAAGAGCAACATCGTTGGATGTCAAAAGCACCTCACCAATGTCTTCAACTGTGGAAATAATGTTAACAACTAATGCAGTAACTACAACTACTGATGCAAAAACCACAACTGTGGCTGAAACGACAACACCTGCTTGGGTAACAACAGCAAATTTAGATGTTACGACAACCTCAGTTGTATCCTCAACTGTGGAATCAACATCATCATCTAATGCAGACACAAAGGCCACAATGACTAATGCAGAAACCACAACTACAGCTGATTCCGTAACAGCTGCTGTTTCTGCCACAACAATAACAACTTTGGATGTCACATCCAATTTACCAAAATTCGAAAGTGTGGAACCAACATCAATAACTATTGCAGACACGGCTATGTCAACTGATGCAGCAGTTAAAACTGCTGCTGAAAACAGAACAACAGGTCACATGAGAACAACTAAAATATTGGAGGTCCCAACTAACAGTCTAAAATCCTCAACTGTTGAATCAGTATCAACAACTGATGCAGCAAGCAAAACTACAGCTGAAACCACAGCAACTTCTTGGACAACAACAACAACATCAGAAAATGCTGTAACCATCTCAACTGAGAAGTCAACATCAACAACTAATTCAGACAAAATGGCAACAAATGAGGTAAGAACAACGCTTTTGAATGACCCAATCACCAGGCTAAACTCCTCAAATGTTGAATCAACAACCATTGGTGCAAAAAAAGGAACCACCTCATCAGAATACACAACTGTCATCTCAACAACAACAACAACATCTAATGCAGATAGAATTACACCAACAACTTATGCAGCAAGCACAACAACTGGTGGAGCAAAAACAGCAAGATCTTTGGCTGTCCCAACCACGAGTCTAAAATCCTCAACTATTGAATCAACATCAGCAACTAATGCTGAAACCAGAACAACAGGTGGGGAAAGAAAAACAAAAAATTTGGATCTTACAACTACTAGTCTAAAATCCTCAACTGTTCAATCAACTACAACAACTAGCGCAACAAGAAGTAATTTACATGCTACAACCACTTCATCAGGATACACAACTGTTTTGTCAACATCAACGTCTCACGCAGACAAAATGACACCAACAACTCATGCAGCAAGCACAACTACAGCTGAAAGCACAACAACAGGTGGAAGAAGAACAAAAAGATCTTTGGCTGTTCCAACCACCAGTCTAAAATCCTCAACTATTGAATCAATATCAGCAATTAATGCTGCAACCAGAACTTTAGCTGAAACCAAACCAAAATGTGGGGAAAAAGAAACAACAATTTTGAAAGGTCCAACCACTAGTCTAAAATCCTCAACCATCGAATCAAAATCGACAACTAAGGTTGCAACCTTAACTACGACTAAATCCACAACAACAGGTGGTGCAAGAACGTCAAGAACTTTGGCTGTCCCAACCACCAGTGTAAAATCAACAACTGCTGAAACAACAACAAATACTGGGGCAACAACAAGAACTTTGCATGCCAAAACCACCTCACCTTTAACATCATCTTCAACCAATAATGCGGATAGAATGACGTCAACAACTGATGCATCAAGCACAACTACATCTGAAAGCACAACAACAGGTGGAGCAAGAACAACAAGAACTTTTGCTGTCCCA